GTGCATTCGGCTGCGGGCGGTAGGGCCGGTGGTGGTGGTAGAGGGGGTAGAGGGTAAGGGGTGGAAGGCGCCTGTAGAATCACTGTTTTCTAATGCAGACTAGCTCCACAATAATTAACACACCAAGGCTTTGTGTGCAACAAAAACATTTTAGATGACAACGTTATTCTCTAAAAGTAGGTGTAGTAATCATTAACAAACTTACTCAACTTATATATAGTTTCACTCTAGATAGATTATATATGACAACGTTATCCTCTAACATATGTAATATAACGTAGCTACCTCCTCCCACACGAATACGGAGAACAAGAGATTAACCATTCCATAGTAACTAACTACTTGAGAGCCCTTCTGTACAGGTACTCCGTACATGATGTACGGATGGAATATCGCTTCGAATGATGCAGTTCCAATTGGAAAATTCTTCCGAGCTCGGTCGATTAATCAGATTAGCCACTGCTTGTGCCCGTTCAATGCCTCCTCTCTCGAACTATGCCTAAGGTGATGCGGCGCCAGTAGTTTTCCAGATGATGAGCTAATCATGTGCCTTGATAATTGCCCGTATTCTTGCGAGATGTTAAAAACTGAGCGGATGGCGTAGTTAGGCATAGCCTATAGTTACGTCCGGTCTTAAATGTGAGCTCACGATTCTAGTAATTGATCTTAACAACTACGCCGTAGGCGGGTTAGCTGCAAGGAAATAGGATTGATTAAAGCCGTTAACTCCAAGAACCACGTTGGGATCAAACATTGTTATGGAAAGGGGGGCTAACTATTTTATGCAAACGCTCTAGCATTAGAAGAAATACAACCAACATAACTGATGTGTTCAAGCCTCGCAACCCCTTGTTGATGCAATCTTTCAAGAACTGCTCCAGCATTAGCGGCTATAAATATTCAAACAAGGCCTCTACTGACTTTTATTTTGCGAATAAGAGTCTTCATCTCGTCTCCATGCTTAGTTAGAGATCAATGAGCCTACTAGGATCGTGAAATTTTGAGCAATTTGAAACAAAAAGATCTCTTCCATACACACAATAGTACTCTTGCTAAAGTTCTTGATCGAATAGTGACTGGTTTATTTTTTGATTGCTCTTTTGACACACGAAACCAAAATTAGAATTAGATGTAGTCGATGGCAGTATAACACGTGGGGAGCTGAGCCTGACCCTGAGGCTCCAGAAAAGCCAATTTGCAAAGGCTAGATGAAGTCTTGAAGGGAAGTAGTTTAAAAAACATTGCCTGTTGTCTGAGAACCTTCCTCTTCCTCCTGCTTCTTAATATTGACATTCTTCCAGATGACAATGGAAGCCAGGACCAGCGGCATCATGCAGACACCAGCAATAACCATTTTTCGTTGAACGTCTGCATACGCTCCAACTATAGCGTCCCGTTCGGGTGTGCCATCGAGATAGGATATCTGCAGCTCCAAATCTCTGAAAATTTGAGCGGCCAAGGACTTGCTTTCCTCCGGGAGTCGCTGATATAGCTGGCTGGGAAGAATGTTATTCCACATAGCACCTGCAATTGCGAGACCAACAGAGGCACCGATGGAGCCGAACAGGCCCCAAATTGCGAGCACGACTGCAACTTCCTGGTGACTGACGACTGACATGACGGCAAGCTGGCCGCAGACAGAGAAGAAGCTGGTACCAATACCAACAAGGACTTGAGTGATGGTTACAGGGCCGATATGAGTGTCAGGCTGCCGGAAAGGGATCAGGAGTGCAGTTCCGAGAAGCATAAATGGGACACCTATGTACGCGGCCCATTTGAAGTTTCCGGTATATCGAATCAAGCTACAACAAAGAGATAAGTAGCTTCCTGGCAGGGTAAACTCAAGGTTGCGTGTCGTAGGAAGTACTCACAAGCCAATCCACGGCGCTAAGATAGCGGACGAGAGCGAGAACGAGTTGAGAACGTAGCCAGCAGTAGTGATGCTTAGCCTATGGACAACGATAAGGTAAGAGTTGAAATAGGCATTCCAACAACTAAATGGAGTGTTAGCGTTCAATTATTAGAACTGTCAACTGGAATTTCTGTTATTAATTATGAAGACGTTAGGGGAGACTAACAAAGCTGACGCGAACATAACACCGTATAGCAAGCAGGAGCCAATGATAGTAGGTTGCTTGAGATAGTTGAAGGGAAGAAATTGCACAGGGGCAAGAAATCTTTCCCAGCAGACGAATAGGGCCAAGCAGACAACCCCAACGACCTCCATGGCAATGATATACCCAGTCGCCCAACCTTTTGGGGCATAAACCACAATACTAAAAGGGAGGAGAATCAAGGCGAACGCAGCCGTAATAAGGACAATCCCCACGACTAGATATAATCCTCTGATCAGACTTCGACATGACTGAAATAGCGTTAGGGACGAGGACATGCAAAAGAAATAGAAACATACCATCAAACTGAACGAAATGATATTTGATCGATTCCCACAGGGTGCGGCCAGATTTTTCTTTATTAAGAAACCCCGCCTTTACGGATTTTCGCTCCATGAATATCATGATAACTACGACTGGAAGGCTGACTCCAACAATCATAATAGCAAAGGCTCCAAAAGCCCACCGGAAGTTCAGGTTGGTATAAAACAGGTCGGCGATCTTGGGACCAGCAAATGTACTCGCGATAGTGGGAGTATTGTTAATGCTGAACATAATCATTCGGTTTCTCAGTGTAGTCATATCGGCCAACATGACATCGACACAATAGATCATACCGATGTGCCCAGTCCAATAAAGAGTATGGGCGCCGACATACGCTTCCATGTTTTGGCAAGTTGCCTTCATGATCAAGCCGACAATAACAAGGACAAGCATGAAAAGGTAACCTTCGATGCGGCCCCAGATGTCGACAATCTTGGCCAGCGTGAGTGTTGAACAGCCACTAAGGATTGTGGAGACGATGCTGACACTGGCAAGGAGTCCATGTTTCTCAAACGAAGAGGTGATGAACGGGTTGAGTGCGAATTGAACGGAAGTCAAGAGCATGTCAACAAAAGACACCATATAGAGCCTAATCATCGCGAGAATCAGTCAGCACGGTCACACAAGCAGAGGCTACTCGGAAGGGAACAGGCTCACAGGGAGAAGGTGAGCCATAGCGTCTTCTTCGACCAAACAGAAGCGACAGCCCGAACCCGCTCAACACCGGGTTGAAAGTCCGCAGAAGACTTGTCTGAGTCATGTAAAGGATGAACATTTGCCCCAGGAACTCCCTTGACACAATTCTCGCGCGCACTGTTCTTCTCCATGTCGGGGGTTTCTTTTGAGACGGCCACCATGATGATCAAACCTGCGCAAAGAATAGAAAGACAAAAAAGGCGTAGAGTGCGTCGAATGAATGTGGGAGAGCATTTTTCCTCCAGCACCTGGGTATTATTCTCTGCTATTAAAGCACAAAGAGAGCGGGGACCCCACTGAGACGAAAAAATCGAATATCACCAATCGGAAGATTCAAAGGAGCCAAACTCCCACTAAGGTTGATACCAGGAGAAGAAGCGGAAAGTATTTTGACTACAAAATAGTCTAGAGTTGGGGGAAACCAGTAGAAAAGCTCCGACTCATCAGATAATTCGCGCAGTGGTCATCAGATAAGATGAGGTGGGCCCATCTTATCTGATGGTATTCGCTTATGACAGCGGCTAGGCTCGCCGAAAACGCCAGCGGAACTGAGATTTATTCTCGTATAAGTGGGGGTGTCGGGGACTCGGGGCAGGCAAAAGCCTCTTCCGCGTGGTGGCCTGAGCAGGAATTCACTATCCGAGGCACTGACCATTTCATTGAAAATTGAAAATTTATATCTGTAGACAATACTACAGACGTTCATCTCAAAAGTTCTTTCTTATATTACAAACATCACATAAGTAAAATATGAAAATAGAAGGTGTGAAAGATGTAGTTAAAGCTTGCTTAATTGAAAAGATTGCTAGCTTGTAAAAAGTTATGTAATGAAAGAATTAATAAGCCAGAACATGTAATCTGACAGTAAGCTCTTGATATTACATTTAATTTCTATGTGGTTCGGAAGAACGTACGACCGTCGGATAATAACGCGGCCGCTTCCGAACTTGCTTATGAATGTAAAGGGGGCCATAGTGGCCACTAATTAATTTAGTGTATGATATATAAGAAGCCGGTGTATGCCTGTAATTATACACTGACTCAAGCAACCTTTGAATCACATCTGATAGTATGTCTAAAAACTGGTGAGAAGTACAGACTTCTTCAGAGCATGATAATTCTATCTATGAAGTGATTTATAGTTATCATATCAGTGTGATTCTAGAATATCTCAAAAGATAGTGTATAAAGAGTAGTGAGTAGAAGAGTATTCAATTAATACTGCTTCACTTATTAAGAAAAAACTTCACACTCAGATAAATGCTATGTACACAAACAGATAAGATATGAGAAAGAGAGATAAAAGTGATGAATCAGATTAAAAGAAGATCACTCTTTACTTAGAGAGATAAAAGAGAGAAGTAATCATTACTAAAGTTATATAATAATAACAGAAATCATATAATAATATAGTGATATAATAATATAGTGATATAATAATATAGTGATATAATAATATAGTAATATAATAATAGACATTATACAATTAATAAGAAATTATTAAAATAAAAATCTTCTTTAATTAATATAAATAATACTCTTCTCTACTATCTGAACTGAAAGATATACACAATCTTTCAGAGAATTTACTTAAAGCAGTAAGAAAAGTAACTGAAATCACTGAACTGAAATTAAAGCTCTGTATGTATATAAGAATTCTAAATAAGATCAAGGTCTTGTATATACAGTAACAGACTGAGATAGAAGTTAAATAACAATTAATATTCACTGTAAATCAAGTATTTACTATGAAGAGATTCACTGATACAATCATTATTATCAATAAGAATAGAGAAAATCAGATCTTAGATCTGTAGTAAGAGATTAAATATTTATATAGATAGATAACTATACTGAATCTAAAGATTTTATCATAATTATTCATAATCTCTTCAGAAGTGTACACATCATTGAAAATCACTGTGTAGAATGAGAATCTGAGTATGAAATATATCAAGCTAGAAGATCTGCTGAAGCTATTAAGCTTTAATAGCAACTGAAAAAATAATGCTGCAATTAGCTGACTAAGTCAGATATGATTATATTATCAGATTGAATATAAACTTATAGATAGATAGTTGATGAAATTCTAACAAGTCTTAAGATTTACTGCATTTCTACATAGAAAAGTGAAGTCATTATAAGTAACTGATAAAAAGATAAATCTCACAGACTCAGAGTAATATTCATTCTTATAAATATGAAATAAGTTTTTCAAATGAATCTTGTATAACTTTGAAACAATGAATATATAAGATAAGTGTTATAAATACTTCACTGAGTGTAGATAAGTGAGTAATCTTATATCATACTTCACACACTTCAGCTTATACTATCTTACATTGAATAAAGAGCTTTTAATATCTTTCTGTTTATAGATCTTCATTCATAATCTTATATCTAAGTTAAAAGTGAAATGAAAATACTTAATCTTATAATTAGACACAGTGAAAGAAGCATATAACATTCTCATTATACAGAAATAAGTGAGTCAATTATAACACAAAATACTACAATTGAGTATATCTCAGTAAAGAATGAATAATCAGACTTTTATAACATAAGTTATATACTCAGATATAATGAATCTAGATCTGAATATCATTGCTAAAGCACTGAATTCTCTGAAAAAGAGATTCTCTGAGTGAAAATCTTAGTATTATACACATCAAGCTTGCTTTAACTGCAAATATTAAAATCATAATATAAAAGATTACACACAGTGTATGTAGTCAAGAGAAGTAAGAGAGTCAAAAAACTAGTAGAATTAGTGAGTTTTAAGACACTCACTGATATTCTATAAAAAGTCTTTAAAGTGAAAAAGATGCTTATGTTAGAAGACTCTCTGAATTCTGTAAATATTAAGAGAAAGCAGGCTTCTGACTGAAATGTAAGTGAGAATGAAGTAAATACTCATCTCAATGCCTTAAGACCTGAAATGTTAATATATAAGAGATACTTGACTAAGAATTGAGAGATAACTATAAAAGTGTTAGTGAATACAGAAGCTTCTATATAATATATTAATAATTATATAATTTGAAGACTGAAAGAGATTTATTAAGTAAAGAATCTCTGATGTATAAGATTATCTGATAATTAATATTTAATATTATCTGTAAGAGTAAGAGTTTTCTTACACTTTAAAGAATGATCTTACTATATTTGAGTATAAGAGCTGCAGAACATGAAATATAATCTTATTCTCAGACTTAATTAGTTTCAAAGATTCAATCTGCAGATTCAATGATGTACATGTTATATACAGTTAACTGTTAGAAAGAAAATAGTTCATACAATTCTATTAACTGATATAAGAAGAATATTTCATATCTCTGATATAGAAGAGTTAAATCTGCTTACATATTAATAACTAAAGAGAATGATTTATAAGATCTCATCTGAAAGCATTCTGTATATCATACAGAACTCAGAAGTGAAGAAAATCAAGATAAAGAATATACAGAAGAATAAGCATATGAAGAAGCTTCTAAAGAAGTATAAGAAGATCTTTTAAATAGATCTTTCACTGAAATTACTGCTGAAACAAGAATTTGTACATAAGATTAATATAGAGAATATAAAATCAGTTAATTAGAATGTATACTCTCTATTATAAATATATCTTGAAGAATAGAAGTATCAGATCACAGATCTTCTAGAATATAGTTCTATATAACTCTTATCAAGTGTGTAAGACTTTTCAGTTCTATTCATGAAAAAGACAGATGAGAAGTGATAGATATGTATTGATTATTAAGTACTTAATAAGCTTATAATCAAGAATGAATATTCACTATTACAGATTCAATAACAGTTGAATACAGTTGAAAATACTTAATATCTATTGAAAATTGATCTTCTCTCAGAATACTAATAGATCTGTATAAATAAACTATTAGTCTCACAAACTGTGTTTAATATATAATAAGAGAAGTTTGAATTTTTAGTAATATTATTCAGTCTAATAAATACATCTATTATCTTTTAAATAATGATGAATATGACTCTTTATAAATAGAATGAAATCTTATATCTTATATATCTTGATAATATTCTAGTCTTTTCAAACTTATATAATAAATATCTGAAGTATCTTAATAAAGTACTTGTAACTCTGACAGAGTATAAGCTCTATATTAAATTAACAAAGTATGTGTTTGAAATGAAAGAGTTGAAGTTCATAGAATATGTAGTGAGTGATGACTGTATATATCTTATTTCAGAGAAATTGAATATTATAGTGAATTGACTGTGACTAGACTGACTGTGTGACCGTGTCTGAGATCAGAATCAAACTTTACAGTTATCATGTTACCTAAAAGCATTACTTCTGATCATGGTTTGTGTTCATCACATTGATCTCAAATCTCATTATTTCAAATATTAAAGATCTCAGATTCACTTTTCAAATAAAAATCTAGTCTCAGATAAAGAATATGTTTGAATTCTTAGTCATATTTTCATTCTGATCTCATTATTGAAAATGGCATCAAATAAGATCATGAAATCATTTCTCACTTACATAATATCATAACATAGTGCTCATTTGTTGAAAATTTAACAGAGAGTGTTATTAAATATCATTACTTTTCTGAATACAGATTATAATCAATATCATTTTAATTAAAAAAAAAATGTAAAATATAAAAAATAATAAAAAAACAAAAAATAAAACAACAAGAAAAAATCACAACAAAAAAAAAAAAAAAAAAGAGAAAGAAAAAAAGAAGAGAAAGAAAAAGACAGAAAGAGAAAGAAAAATTAAAAAAAAAAGAAAAGAAAAAGAAAAAAATAAAAAATAAAAATAAAAAAAAATCAAGATTGCAGGGCTGCAGCATTTTCAAAATACTTACTTCTCAGAGTCTTCATAATGTTTATTATCAACTGTGTATCTCTCACAGTGAGAGTAACACAGCTGTGATAAGTCATTGTCTTAACATTATCTAATAAATAATCAGTATATATCTATATAAATGTGAATAATTAGAAAACATACACTTAAAAAGTGTGATCAGAGTGAACTCTGCTGCCACTTGAATAACATTAAGAACAGAATGCTGGAATTGATGATTTCTCTCATTAATTTCACAGACAAGGCATGCAAAGATGATCTTGAGAAATATAAGATTCTCTGACTTCTGATAGAAATGAATCTCATGAAGAGACTCTATTTTCATCATATCAGAGACTGAGTGTTATCAAAAAGTGTTACTTCAATACACATACACTTACTGTGATGATTCATTCTCTGTGTATGTGACTGAGAGTTGCAGCTTTCTCACGCTGCACAGCTCTCTCTGAGATGCTGTCACTGGTTTACAATTCACACAGTCTTTCAGTCCAGTATGTGCTGTGTATATACAGCCCTGTGTGCTGGGGCTGTGTTGGTCATTATGGCCTGGTGTGATACTCGCTTTTTGCAGGCCATGTTTTGTTTGATTGAGAAGGGAGAAGAGATGTAACTACTGTTTTATTTAAGAGAGAATGAGTAATTAAATCTATAGAAGATAATTTGATTTCTTCTGTATTTAAAATTTAATTAGTCTATACTTTTCAATTTAAGGGTTTCTGAGAGTGTTTTAATAGTTTTCATATCAGCTTGGAATTAGTGATTGATTGAAGAAGAGAAAAGAGAGAAGAAAGAAATGAGAATAACTTATCTTTATAATATGAAAACAGAGAATTGCTGCAACTATTTATTCTAGCAACAAAGA